AATTACGTGAAACTTATCACAAAATAACAAATTACGTGAAACTTATCACGAAATAACGTGAAAGTTATCATGCAATTACGTGAAACTACGTGATGTAGCTGTCCTTTCAAACAAATGTTTTAATGACACATAAAGATAATGACATATTAGGCTACCAAACCTACACATGTATTCATTAAAACCTCACTGTCTCGTCTCACAGTCACTGGCTGGTCAACGGGTTTGTCGTGTTTGGGGCTCCGTATATGGCCTACGACATCTACGCCATGTATCTGACCCACTTTTACACTCAGAGGGACAAAAGTGCCGAAGGTGCCCACAGCAGACACTCTCTTCACACGGTGAGAGCTTTTCTGCTCAGAGAATGGATGCTGGTCCTGCATCACCTGGTGCTGCTCGTTGTGTTCTTGCCTGTAGTTCTGGTAAGGAATGTTCAAAACAATTATAAACTCGCACAGACACGAACAAACACACAAGATGTTTGACCGGCCTCACGTTAGTGTGTCTTGACCCACAGTTCTTAAGAAGAGGTCTGGGCGACTTTTTCATTGGCTGCTTCTTCATCACAGAGCTCAGCACTCCATTCATCTGTCTAGGAAAGATCCTCATTCAGGTAATTCATCTTTGGATTAAAACTTTTTTGTATGTTAGAAGAAACATAAAATATGTTACCTGTGAATATATCTGTACTGTTTAAAAGAAATTGTCACATTACACTGTTCTGATGTACATAGTAAATGGTCTAGATGTGTTTGTGATGACGGGTGTCTGGAAGTTGGAAAATACAGTTGTATTTATGTGTATAAATGATACCAGCCAGCTAGAGTGCCCTCTAGCGGCTATCAGTGTGGTAATTTCGAACATGTACATTTTCAGTGGTACAGGAGTAGCAGATACTGGTACACAAGCCTAGAATGTCCTCTAGTGGCTGTCAGTGTGAAAATAACAAACGTGAAATTATATATTTTAATATATGTTGCAAACCCAGCCAAAGGATGAAAAAAAGTGCGAAAAAAAAAACCATACCCAGTAATGAGAGACTTCAGCCTATGCATGCGTTCAGTGCTGATTCTAAGCGCTGATATATGAGAGTTCGGGAGTCTTGAATTCGGGAAACTATATCTGTGGAGCTGTGTTGAAGGACCGATCTTCTCATCTACTTCTGATTTGTCCCCTGATATCCAGCTGGGTCTGGACAACAGCAGGCTGCACAGAATCAACGGCGTAATCGTCCTCCTCACTTTCTTCACCTGTCGGATCTTGGTCTTTCCCTTCATGTACTGGATGTATGGTCGACAGTTCAGGATTCCCCTGCACAGAGTGCCCTTTGTCCTGCCTCTGCATTGCAATGTGTGTAACCTGGTGATACTGGTGCCACAGATTTACTGGTTTATCCTGTTGCTGAAGAAAGCCAGGAGGCTGTACCTGAGAGGACAGAAGAGGAGGACAGCAGACACAAACACACAGGACAAGATGGACTGAACGTTTTTGCTTTTTCCTTAAACTGTCTTTGAAGTTGCACTGTTTTTTTTAAATTAACGTGAAAAAAGGGTACTTTAAAGTTTGGTTGTATGGAGTAGTTTGACGTGCTACGCAACAAAACATAGCTACCAGTAGGAGGCAATAGAAACAACTACACAGCCTAATAAAATTTACACCATTTTAACTAATGGTTACTGTGATTGTGCTTCTAGCTTTATCTTGCCGTTTGTAACCATATTCTTGTTTGTTTTTGTTTGTTTTTTGACTAAAAGTCAGTCATTTTGTAAGAAGTGACTGAATTGCACTAAATTGATGTTTCTTCACTGTTTTGCAGACAGTTTTTTTATACAGTTGCACTATTTTCAATAAAACTAATCGGCATCAAGTTTTATTGTGTGTAATTAATTTGGTAAAACACCAGGAAGTAATTACAGAAATATTTTCTGGGGAATTGTCTCTTTATTTAAACAAATTTGTACAGAGTGTCATTTTTACAGCACAGTAACAAACTGAACAAACGTTCCTTTAACAGCAGGCTACTGAAATGTTCAACCTCAAGCTTAGACATCAGGACATCTGAAGTTCGACTGTGGACGACACGTGAACTCAGTGAGCCTCCACAGCCACAACAAGCTGAGCGATCTTCTGCTGCAGCACCACCTTCATCTCCTGGTTCTCCAGATTGTCTGTGATGGTGGTGAAAAAGTGTCGGGTGTTGTCACTCTCCAGTGCACTGCTGCTGTCTGGGAAGGCAGCCATGATGGCTTCGTAGTGGCTGAGGATTTCCAGACTGGTCAGGAAGAGAGGTTCACACTGGCCTGTTGGCATCATCACCTGAAAGGAGGACATTTCAACAAAGACACTTTAAAGCTGCTCAAGGCTACTACCTTAAAGCCATAAAAACCCAACATTACTGCCGGGTCAATCAGACTGAAAAGAAGTCTTACTGAACATGGTTTAAAGAAGAACTTTTGTACCTGGATGTGCTGAACATGGCAGAAGAGCTGGCTGAGAACGAAGAGGACTTCCTGACTGGGAGGTTTCTCCAGCTCCTCCATGTGTGACTTTCCAGTGTCGTATGTTTCCTCCACTGAGATTGCTGTCTCTTCAGTGACCATCGGTGAAGTGTGGGAAGCATTTGCTCCAAGAAGCAGCTTAGCTTTGACAGAGTTCAGCATCTCCCTCATGGCGTGAGCATAGAGTCTGCCAACATATGTCCAGCCTTCTTCTGAGAGCCAGTCTGAGCAGCTGGACCCACACAGCAGCTGCAGGGCGCGCAGCAGGAGCACTGACAGGCGGAGCTCGCACGAAAACCTCCTGAGGTCCAGGAGAGGCAGGTGGTCCACGTACTCCAGTGAGAAGGGGACGTGGAGACGACCAGAGGTGATGAGCTCTCTCAGTGTCTCCAGGAGCCTGGACCACTGGGACACGGAGCACCAGGGCAGAGTCTGGGTCAGTGCCAGCAACAGGCCTTTACTGAACATGTTGACGTGGTCGGACAGGCGTTGGTCCAGAGAGAGGCCTGACAGCATGGCTGTTCTTAGAGAGTCTGATATGGAGCAGCACTCCATCCAGGGCAAAAGGCCGCTGCCCTGGCCGTACTGAGGCAGGTTCAAACCTGACCACTCCTGGCAACAAAGGAGGAAAGAACAACTTATAAAAGGTGTGTTTTATAAAATAAAGTTGCATTGTTACATTTTCTTACTAAAAAACATGGACACACACCTGTTTTCTTACTAAAAAACATGGACACACACTAAAAAAATTTGTAGTTCTATTTTACCTGCTCAGGTAGATCACATACAGTCAGCAGAGACAAAGGGACTTCATTCTTGAAGTGATCTCCCCACACGGGCTTCAGGTGGAACCGCACTGTCCAGTCCAGCTCCTCCACCTTGTTGTACAGCCAGAAAAGAGCCCTGGACCAAGTGTCTGGGTCTGCTGCCACTTCCACACCCACCACCTGAGCTAATGTGGCCAGCACCGACTCCAGTAGCTCTTTGGTCTCCATCGACCAATGATGGACAGAGCCCTCTGGTGGCTGCTCCCAAAGTCTAACAGACACAGGGAAATAATACAGGTTACAGTTCTGCACCTGAGGACATCTGTTCCCAAACATTTTTTGCACATTTTTTCCTACTTTGGGAATCACTGAATCAGTAATATTCTAAAATAATATAGTAACAGTGCAAATTAGACAGTTCTTTGACGAACCTGAGCGTCTGGTTGAGCAGCTGAGCCAGGATGTAGAGCAGTGGAAACGGAGAACAGCCCAACACCCAGTGGGTAGAAGACGTTTGATGCAGGACATCAACACTCAGAGCAGTGTGGAGAAGTTTCAAAGTCAATTCAATGTCAAACAAACTGTTACCTGGAGGGAGGTGGAGAAAGGCATCCAAACAAAGAGCATTTTTATTTTAACTGTGTTTCTTATTAAGTTTTTAAACAAGACTTTTTTCATGAAACTTACCTTTGGATAAATATGGCAGAACAAAGACATTCACGACTTCCTGCTGTGTCAAAAAGCCACAACTTCTTTCTTCTCCATCAGCCGACATCATCAGATCCACAAACTTGAGAAACTGCTCTTTTTCACCTGATGACAGTGATTTCTTCTTAACTGTGTTTTGCAGACATCTGCAGAGGAGACTGACGTCACGCTCGTCTTTCTTCTCCTCACAGGGATAATCGTTTTGGCTCTTTTCTGACTCATTAATTCCCCCAGTCTGTTCTCTGAGTCCAGGCAGCTGCTGAAGGATCTTGGCCATCAGAGAAAATGCCCCCTTGTTGAAAATGGCTGCGTGGCAACAAGACCTCAGCGTGGCCTCCGGGTTCTGGAAGGCCACTCTCGCCACCAGAGTGGCAGCTGTGCTCAGGTTGTTTTGTGAATCTGCTGCCGAGGCTCCGCCTCCTCCCTGTATGATGCAGTTGAAGGTCATGTTGAGCTCCTTCTCAAAACCTGTCGTCACATCAGTGGGAACAACGTGTCCAAAAAACCCCCTGGTGGACAACTGCATCATGGCTTCCAGTGACTTGTTTTTGTCTTCTAAGGTAAGTGCTGAGAATATGTCTGCGGTGACTTTGATCAGCTTTTTGACCTGGTTCACGTCTGAGTTCTCGCTCTGGAGTTTACCCATGACGGTGGAGGTGAGGCTGATCAGAATGTCATGCCGCTGAAAGACTGTTTTGTTCTTCTCTAGACAGTCCAACCAGTGCTCATTGGAGGAAGCCCAGCTCTCCTCACTGGCAAACAACAAAGCGAAGTTCTGATAGTCATCTAGCTGGTGGTTTATGATGGTCATTGTGACCTCTGCTTCTGTCTCGGGCGTGGTCTGTGAGGCAGGAAAAGTCAGCGACTTCAGCAAACTTCTGAGGGTGTTTATCTTAGTCACGTGTTCGTCCGTTTCACACATGGCTTCAGATGAACAAGCTTTGTTTTGAGCGGCCAGAACTTTGTTGACACTTTGTTCTAATCTAAATGCAGAGTAACTCACGTTGACGCCGTCTCCCAGTTTGATGGTGGTGCTGTTTAGCCAGAACTGTGTCAGGTCTGTTATAAGATCCAAGGCTTCTCCAAGTGTCATTGTGTTGGGTTGAAACTGAGAGGGTGTCTGAGCTGCACGGAAGTCTCTCTGAACCTCCCAAATAAGTTCAGGACTCAGTTTCCCATCATGCTCTGCTCTGATGCCAACAGCTTTGGACAATATGTGCATCTTGTCTTTAGTTGGGAGTTTGTCCTCCTGGTCAATCATATAGGCTGTGTATAGACAATCAAGGGACACACTGAGGGCTTTGTGACAGACATCCGTGGAGGACACAGAGTCTTTAATGTCTTTTAGTGTGTGAAGTAAAATGTGTAGAACATCAGTGGATGCTGATGGTACCAGCTCTTCCACGGTGTCTAGCTTGAGCCTTTTAGCCTGAGGAGAAACGCCCGACGTCTTAGATGACACACGGTCAAACTCCTTGGCAAACATGGTTCCTGTGTCTTCTTTGTTGTCCACTTCTCTCACTTTCCGCTCATCTCTGCCTTTCCACAGTTCCCACCACACGTCCAGAAACAGCTGCACATCATCTTCTCTCGTTGGGCTGCTTTTTACATGCTGTGCCAGCTTTTCAAGTTCAGGAACAATCTGAGCTCTGGGAAGACACAGAAGCATATGAGCAAAAACATCTGCAGCTGCCACTGACTTCACCAGCTCCAGCAGGACGGCACGGTTGACGTCAGGAAGGCCATTCTGAAGAGGGAAGAAAGGATTTTCCTTCCATGCAGCCTCTACATCATCTTCAATCTCTCCACACAAAGCCTTCAACCAGACAACACAAACTACTTTCTGTTTCCAGTCCGTAGGTTGACTGGGAAGTTCATCCTGTCCACAAAGTTCTTGGACCGCCTCCAGAACTGAATGTCCAACTTTGCTCCAGTCAGCTTTCTGAAGAGAGGACAGGGATGAAGGCAAACACATCTTGTTTGCCAAAAGGAAAGCTCCCTGAAGAACTGCTATGTCTGCAAATAAAACAAAAGACTCAAAAGTAAGGAAAGGTCCAGTAAATTATCACTAATTTTAGCTTGGCATGCAAAATGCATTTTCACAAATAGAGTTTCTAACGAATGCAACCTCACTGATCCAAAACCAAATTAAACACAATACTTATACACAATATACGTATATACGCCATGTCATATCTGTAATAGAAGACACACCATGATTCATCGTTAAAGCCATGCTGCTGGTGTAGCTACATGTACAGCGTCTTTTGGTGTGTTTTAAATAATCTCCTCTCCTCAGACGGTTTCCCCAGAGCACGCGCCTTACTAAACGTAAACAAAAAAAAAGACAAATGTAATATATCGTTCTTCTTTGCACAGTTACAGGTTACTTTTCAACTACATGTCAACAGCTTTGTAAAGAGCGCGTACGTTCTTCCGCGACAACGTGAACGTTTTAAAGACAAGATGGTCTCTCGCTGTTACCAGAGGCTTTTCACAGCGCCACCTCAGGACAAACGCAGTACTGCGAACTGTCGAGTCAGTTTTCTTGCAAAGTGAAAGTAAAAGCTATCGTGCAGCTGAAGCCAGATCTAGCTGAATCGATATGATCGTGTACGAATGATTTTTGATCATGAGAGTGGTTTTCAAGACACTCGTCAGCTTGTACGTGTGTACAGGTAGGTTTCTTTACTCGCCACGTCTAGGAGTGCGTGTAATAATAGACACATTTCGAGCTTCTCGGCTCTTAATGTCGTTTAGTACTTCATGCTGAGCAGAATGCCTGTAACATTCTAAAAAGTTACTGATTATTGCGAATATCGTCCTTTGTCAATTGACTCTTATGTCTCTTACGTCTAATTCACTTCTACGTGTAAATAAACTACACTGGGACATGTGTATTATTTTGTTGATTAAATTAATTTAATATAAAATCGATGATTATGTGTTGATCGAGTGTGTTCCCATTTGACGGTTAAACACCCTGTTGGACATAATGATGGACGTCGGTCAAAGCCTTCTGTTGCTATAAAATACAGTACTACGTACAGTACTTTGCAGTATCTCGCAATACTTCTGTAACATCACATAGCTTTCTGTTGCACTGTCTTTAGCTTCGTCCATGTTTGTTAGATGTAATTTTGGTTTGGTTTGTAAGTTTGGTCACATTAACATTGCTGTGAAGAACTGTTTAATTCTTTTAGGAACCTACAGTAGGAGAATAATTATCAAAGCATCAAAGTGGAACATTTCCGCAATCTTTCAGCGTTAAGTAATTAAAATACAGAACAACCTGTTATTCCAGTTTCTAGTTCTTTACTGTGAAAGACTTACCTTATCCACTATATGCAAACACACGAATGAAACTTTTTTATTTTTTGCTCTGAATGAACAGTAATTACACTGTGAACTAAACTCTTTGCCTCTTGTCTCCTAGGTGTCCTGTGTGTCCATCAGCTGTCATGGCTGCCCTGTATGTTCATTGATGAGCGGGTGTCTTTAAATGATAAAGGTGTTCCTGAAATTCAGCAAATACCAAGGGAGGCTTTTCTACAATTTGGTCAAAAGGAAGATGCTGCTGTTAACCCACAGGTCATCACCTTTATGGTGACAGGTAAAGGTCACTCACTGCTGTATCCCACAGTCTGAGTGGTGGGACTTCATCATTCACCCTTTTTGAACTTTTCTTTTGTTGTTGTAGGATCTAGGTTGGATTTGCGTCGGTATGTGGATGTATGGGAGGCGGAGCAGTTAGAGTGTCAGCTGTATAGGTACAGCACACATGGCAGCTATGTCCGCTGGCCTGGGAAGGGCAATCAGGAGTACAACCATTGGTTCCGCTTCACCATTAAACCCAGCAACGGCCTGTCTGTCACCAGTGGCTTCCTCCGACGCCCATCTGACCAACCTGCCCCGGAAAAGCAGGACTTCTTCAACTGGACCACCATCGCAGACAGGGAGGTACTCACGACAACGGGTGAGACTCGGCTTGTTGGAAACTGTTCATACACGGAACGTTTCTTTAATGTCATGAACATACAGTATCTTCCACCTCTTCTTTGCTCCATAAAAACATTGCTAAATCATTTTCATTCATGTCTCATTGTTTCCACAGTGGCCGTGGTCATTAAATCACAGACCCCCTTTGTGAGGACAGGTCTACGCTCCCAACCAAAGCTTCACTGCCAGTTTGCTCTGGACCACAAGAGTCCAAACTTCATTTTGGAGTGGATCTTGCAGCGCCGTGGGGAGAGAACCACAGTGTTCAGCTATAACAGCCGCTCAGGTCAAACTGAGGGCACTGGGGTTGGACTGAAGGCTCTGGAAGACGGCGATGCTTCTTACTCTCTGGCCTTCACTAAGACCATCAGCGAGGGGCTCTATATTTGTTCCCTGTCTGTCAATCCACTCTCCATTCAGATGAATATGGATCTGCACGTCGAAGGTGAGAAAATGAGTCGGAGAAAAGGGTTGTGGAATTTTTCTAATAGTTTTGCATATTCGTCTTGAAGTTTTTTTCCATATTAATAATTCCATCATTAAGATTAGTTACAAATAAAAATTTACCTTGAGTACATTTTAGATTACTTTTTTTTAGAAGTTAGATGCAGAAGACAGCATGAAATAGTTAACAGTCCAAAAGGAAAAAAGAAACATATTCCTGAGAAGAGCTGATGTAGCAGCCTGAACGTTTTCATTTTCTTTCCCTCAGAGCCTCCCCGTGTCTCCATAAACATTCAACCTGATCTCCTCCTGCAGAAGGGTGAGGAGCAGAAGGTTGTGTGTGAGGCGGTGGGATATTACCCACTGGATGTGGAAATAGTTTGGCATGAACAGGAGCCATCTGCTTCAGGCCAGAGGGTCGGCACTTCCTTGCCTAAAAAGGTGGACATCCTGCTGTCGAGCCACAAACACAACCCCCAGGACATGACGTACTCCGTGTCGGCTTTCTTCTACCTCCAGACTTCGCTGAGGAACCTTGGTCAAAGTCAGTTCATCTGCAGCGTCTCCCACAAGTCCCTGAGGGTTCCCATCAAGAAGAGCTTCACTCTGACGGTAGAAGGTGAGAGAAAAGTCAGAAAGATGGTGGTGTAGGACGGTGAGCTCACCACAGTGTGGCAGCAGAGGGACGTCTTTGACACCGGGCCTGTCTGTACGTGTTGGCCTTTTACAACTACTGTGTACAGTTACTTAGGATCATTTACAGTATATACCATTGTGCTGGGGGACACTTTGTCCTTTTGGGGACACTACCATTGTGCTGGGGGACACTTTGTCCATTTTTTTGACATTTTTTCAGATCAGTTCTGGATGAGAGGGCATTTTGAACTCCAAGATTTAATTAGGGTCAGATTAAGATTAGGATTAGAAATATTGTGCAAAGGTTTATGTCTATGACACGTGTGTGTGTGTGTGTGTGTCCTGCTCAGAGCCCAGCAGCTGGCTGTTCAGCATCACCATGGGTTTCATCGTGTTGGCTCTACTGTTCGTTCTCTGCGTGATGCTGCTGTACCTGAGCTCAGGTGGGCGTGGCTTAGGTTTTAATTGGTTACATACATTAATGATCATAAATATGTACGGGTGTGATGGGTGTATAAGTGATTACTAACACTCTTTATAATTAACCTGTGAAATGTTAACTACCAATTTAATAACTTTCTTCACTTCCATTCACAGTGAGAAAGAAGATTCATGAAGTAAGATAATCTTTATAATTCCACTACTTCTACTTTTACTAATTATAATAATTATAACAATAATTTTCTCCTCTTTCTCATCCTTTCTTTTTTCTGTGTGTGAAAACAGAAGAAACCCTACTGAAAAGAAAACCAGTCATAAAGGTTTTAACGTCACTGGTCACCAGGAGGTCAGGGGTTCCATTCCTGTTGGAGTTTTCACTCTGGACTTCAAATACTCAAAGTAAAAGATTCTGTTTGCATCAGAGATGCTGCACGACTGAAAACCTCCATCAGACAGAAGAACGACATCAACTGAGACCAACTGGAACAAGAAAAAAAACAGAATGGCAAAGGCAGATAATGTAAAATAGATCTATGTTTGAAATATTTAATTTGTCCTTGACTGTTGAATTGTAGTTTGGAGTCCTGCGTGCAACAGTTTTCAGCTTCTCAACAATCTTAAAATATCCAAGCCTACTGATGTGTTTTTATTCTTTCTTTAAAAAGCCTTTTCCAACAGAAAACACAGTTGATAGAGAAAATCTTTGATTAAAACTTCACAGAAACGTTGGACCCGTCTGTTCAGTGTGTTGACCTTCATGACCTACGGATTTGACCTCAGCTCTGTTCATGTATCTTAAAACACCTGATCAAACATTCAATAGTTGTTTTGATGATGTTTCATATTCTGTAGCAGATGGAGCTGCAATAAAAAAATCACTATTGTATTAACTAGAGATGTCCGCAAATATCGGCCGACCAATATTATCGGCCGGGTATTAGCATATTATATAATATCTGCAAGAATAGTTTTTTCATCTTGATTATGAAAACCCGATAACGCAGTGCTTGGGTTTCGCCAAACGAATGTATATTAAAGTGAAAGTCACTAGATGGCAGCATTGCAGCTGCAGAGTATAAGTCAAAGAGACTGCAAATATAATTAATTCAAATCACAGACGCAAAGTTTGGCTTCGCTTGCAGAAACGCCACAACCAAAGACAAGAAAAAAGAGGGGGAGAAAAGCTACTATTAAAAAAATCCCAGGCAGCTACCCAGCATCCCCTCAGGACGCACAGGAGATCAGTTCCAACATCAACACTGCTGTTCGCCCGCACAGATACCATCAGCCTTTTAAAACAAGTTGCTTGTGCAGCACTTTAAGATAGAGCGGAGAAATAACCGCAGGTATGAGGATCAGTGAGTCGATGACGGATGATGTGAACTGCAGCAGAGAGGCTGAAGGCGGGAAAATGACGTCACCGATTAAAATCCAGTCTGACCGACACGTCTGTGGATTAGAACCTGTGTGGTGGTGTATGAAATCTGACTGCTGACGTATGACTGCTGACGTATGACTGCAACTGTTAGTTCACTGATGAATTACTAGTGTATTTTAATTAACAAGAGATTTTTTAAAAAAGATGAGTAGATTTCAGCTAAAATGAATCCATCATCTGATAAAACAAATGATGTAATAATTGTCAGCTCTGGTGTGTGAAAACCAACAGGACTTTTATATATATATATATATAAAGCTACAGGATGCAACTAGACACCAGACACTATCGTGGAAGTTTACCCGCAACCACATTGTTGGAAAATGCCCGACGAGCAAGTCTAAGTAGTTATTTTGTTTCACCACAAGGGGAAAACATCACAACTTCAATACACACATTTACTGTACACACAGTTAGAGTATGCTTTCGGTTGGCAATGTTTTTTTAAAATTAATGTTTAATGTTCCTTTTGTTATTTTATCTCCTTTCATTTCTTTTCTTATTTCGTTGTATTTCTCTGTCAGATAATACACGGTATCACAGTGACAGACTTTACTTTATTCCAAAGAAAGAATTTTTTTTGGCTCAAAAAGACTCCAAAGAGAAGGAGAGAGAGAGAGGGCGAGAGAGATAAGATCATGATGGAGAGCTCTGTTATCCACAAATGGCCCTGAAATGACTTACAGCTTCCTTTTCTCACTCTTCGGTAACGTGATTCGTACCTTGTGTTTTTCTACGTCTGTTTTCATTTGTGATTCTGGCTGGAACACTCCTGATAGTTTACTCTGCTGCTGCTGTCACAGGCTCTCGTGTTGTGGTCTGACGTGTGTGTGTTGATTATTGTGTATCGCAGCCTTGAGAGCACACAGGTTCTGTGGTCTTTGAATAATAAACAGCAGTAATGGTCGATCAGTCGTCTGGCTCTGCTCTCCTCTGCTGCACTGACACATCAGGAATAACAGTCGAGTCACTCCAACACCAAGAGTAGGGATGTACGATATTAACTATTTGCCAATTTACGATGTGCCGACAACGTCCAAACACTTTTCTGATACCATTATCAACCGATACTAAGAGGTTAAGTGTCGCCTCTTCATTAACAGTGTTTCTCAATTGTTTTCTGCCATCCCCCCCCTACAGGACAGACGTTTTTTTACACTCCCTCCAAATTGAAATACTATTTAGGGCCTGTATGAACCACTGTATGAGTTCATACAATTATTCAAATAGATTATTAAAATGATCTGCAATGCTGCCATCTAGTGACTTTCACTTTTATATACAGTAATTTTTCCCCAGAACTGTTTTTAGAGCACACATCATTTGGCGAAACCCAGGCATTGCGTTATCAGGTTTTCATTATCGGAGGAAAAGCAGAAAACGATTCTTACAGATATTACATAATAATGCTAATATCTGGCATCTCTAACTAAGAATGTTGACACTCCTGACTGACTGATTGTCTGACTGATTGTCTGTCTGACTGATTGTCTGACTGACTGACTGACCTCACTCCCCTTATGACAGGCTGCTGTCAGCGAGCAGCCTGAAACACAGTTTGTTTCCAGTGATAAAACATCACAGTCAGTGTCAGTGAGTAGGAGACAGCGAGGCCAAGTGGAAGGAGATTTATAAGGTGCAGCGAACCAGCGTTATAGCCTGATGGTGCAAGAATGTTGTGTCACTGCTCAGTTATGCAGCCCGCATCATGGAGATCTGTGAAGAGAACAATCTCAGAAGGAAACGTCTTGATTGGGTTTCTGGGAAACCTGTTGCCAAAGTGTGGATGAAAACGTGTTTGTTTACGGCTGTGACATCAGACGACATGTGGAGGAGGATGGTGTGGAGAATTTCTAACCTTTATTTGTGTCTGTTTGTGTTTACATGGAAACTAATGGGCAATAACTGTGAGTGAGAATGGGCCTGAGAGACTAAACACACACACACACACACGGCTCCTAATGATGATGATCTCGGTGATTCTCAGAAAAGTTATCACAAACGTTATCACAAACCTACTTATATTATTAATTATATATATATATATACAATTTTATTTTCTTTTGACGTGCTCGCTTTTCAACAACAACAACAACACCAATAATAATAATAATAATAATATGTTGTTGTTTTTCAGACGTCTCCTCTGAGTTGGTAATATTTTCCACTCATTTTTCTATATTTTGTTGTCAGTCTTCTCTTCAGTCCTGCTCCTTAGTGTACTCCATGTCAGGTCTTCCAGTTTTCTCTAACTCCAATCACAGGCTTCAGGCATTGATTCATTTCACCTGTGATCAGTTCAGTTCTTCCACCTGTTTTCACCATGTGTTGAAAAGTAAGTCAGTTTCTGTGTTGTCGTTATATTGTCTGAAATGTTTCATTTCTATTTTGATGGTTTTTCAAAGGTAGTTGAATAATTTAGCTACAGTTTTTTTTATTTTAAGAAAAAAAGATGAAAAATGCAGGAGCTTCTCTGTAGAATCAGTTTTGTTTGGTGTCGTTTGATTTTACTGACTTTTCTTACTGAAAATACAATTGTAAACACAGCTTTCTTGCTCTTTTTGTTTTCAGTATATGTAGAAGTACAATAATAGAAGAAAAAACGTCTTTTAAAAAAAAAGTTAATAATTTCACGCTGAATAAAAAAAAAGTTTGTAATCCAAAAATGATCTGGATATACAGGTTTTACGGAGACACCGTGAGTGACCTCTGCCTGAGTTCACACCTTGTCACAGATGGTTAAAGAGCATGACTGTCTCCATGGCACTGCTTCATGCCACAGGTCATGCTGAATTAACCCTGCACCTACTCCACTCGCCCACTAAAACCACAAAAATCAGCAACAAATCAACGTTGGATGTCAGGCCGTTCCTGACCCGCGCTCTGTCTGCTCGGCAGATGTGGTCGGTTTTACACCCCACAACCTTCCCGTCCACTTTCATTAGTGAAATTTGTTCCAAAAACTTGTAAACTGCGTGACGGAGCCTAATTGTGATGCAGATGAGTTGTTGGATTTTATCGTTCGAGCCAAAGTCGAAGTTTTGATCTTTCTCTGAGTTGTTTGAAGTTTTTTTCTTTCGTTGCCAGATTTTTTGGCTCAAAACAAAATCAGCTCGGACTCCTGTCCTGCCGAAAAGACATCTGAATGAGAGTGATAAATCACCTGCTGACACCCCCCCCTCCACTACGCCCCCCCCAGACTTGTCTCTCTAGATTCAGTATTTTTAGAGCTTACATTAGCAGAGCGGCCTTTGACAGATGGGAGACTTACGAGCAGAAAAGACCAAGATGAAGGATTGATCCCCTCGGTGTCAAACAGCATCAGTCCACACGGAGAACACTGTAATTTAGAAGAATTCATCCAACTGGAGGGTCCATCACTTATAATATGAGTAGGTGGTATTTAAGACCACGGTTCAGACTGGGAGATGATCTGAATAAGTCGATGGTTCAGAGAAGGAGGGGGGAAATAGAAAAAACCCATTTGTGGTGATGCTGCATGTTCCGACCACACTTTAAACCCTGCTGAAAGCAGGATTAGGCTGAGTTTAAATTTATGTAAGTGAGACCAGATGTGTGTGTGTGTGTGTGTTTGTGTGCGCGCACCGTTCTGCGTCAGTGGTTCCCAGCAGGACGACAGGAAAGGTCAGCGCTACGGATTCTCAGACTGTGAAACTGCAAGTGGGGACTTCGAGGAAAATGCGGTTGTTTAGATCTACTTGGCAGCCTGTCAGGGCCTTCGTTACACACAAACACACACACA